TTAAGGGATTGAAGAAGGGAAAGGCGCCAGATGAAGATGGGATCCATAACGAGGCAGAAGCATCAAGGGTGGTGAGAGTGAAGTTGTTGGAGGGGATGAATAGCGTATGGAGAGGTAGTGGGATTCCGAAGGGATGGAAAGTGGGGGTAATGCCCAGTATATAAAAAGGGTAATAAGCAGAGCCCGGACAGTTTAGGAAAGTGATCCTAAAACGCCTCCCACTTCAGTCTCAATATTCAATGAATTAAATCGAAGCGTACGCTTATCAAGGCATTCGTTTAGTGTGGAGGGGCGCACGTTTCCTAAACTGTCCGGGCTCTGGTAATAAGCGAATTGTAGATAGCTACAGGGGAAGTAACCTACTAGACTCGGCATACAAGGTATACACGAAGATACTGTTGGGAAGACTGGAGGAGGAGATGGAGTTGGGGGGAATTTTGCCGGATGGGCAGGCAGGCTTTTGGAAGGGAAGGGGACCAATCGACAACGTGTATGTGCTGAAGCATCTGGCAGATAGAGAGCTGGATAAGAAGGGAGGGAAATTGTACGCCCCGTTTATAGATCTGAAGGTGGCTTTTGAGAATGTAGACAGGGGGAAGTTGTGGGAGGAGATGGGGAGGAACACCTAATAGCGAAAGTGAAGGAAATATACATGGAGACTAGGGCTAGGATAAAAGTGGGGGATAAGCTGAGCGACGTGTTCAGGACGACGAAGGGACTGAGGCAGGGATGTCCGCTGAGCCCAAGTTTGTTTGCATGTATACGGCGGACTTGGAAGATTGGGGAAGAGGCAGATGGGAGGTAGAAAGGTGCATATGTTAGCATACGCGGATGACATCGTGGTCATGGCGAGAGAGGCGGTGGAGATGAAGGATATGATAAAGACCTTGGAAAGATATTTTAGAAGGAAGGGGTTGGAAGTGAATGTGGGGAAGACAAAAATGATGAAGTTCTGTAAGGGTGGGAGAAAAAGAACAGAAAACTGGAGATGGGAGGGAAAGGAGATCGAGGAGGTTGGGGAGTATACTTACCTTGAGTATGTGTTTAGGGAGGATAACAAGGAGGGGTCGCATGTGATAGCTATGGCAAAAAAGGCGAATAAGGTGATGGGACAAGTATGGGGTTGGGGGGAGAGAGTCTTTGAAAGGAATGTGACAACGAGGAAGATTATGTTTGAAGGTCTGGTTAGCAGTATGATGATGTATGGGGCAGAAGTATGAGGATGGAGGGAGCAGAAAATGCTGGAGGACATGCAAGCTAGATATTGGAGATCGGTGCTTGGGGTGGCGAGAGTAACACCGGGGTATATAGTGAGGGAAGAGGTAAAGGTGGATAAGGTCAGAATGGAGGCGGGCAGGAGGGCAGTGAAATATGAAGAAAGAGTAGAAGGAAGGCCAAACTGCGGGATCTTGGGAGAGTGTTGGAGGGAAATTAGAGAGGGAAAGGAGATAGAGATAACTATTATAGAAGAGCGGGCTATTCGGTAACTGAAATGAATAGCAGACGAAGGGTGGGTAGGGAGATGTGGAGGGAGTTGAGAGATAGGGACCGAGATGTGCAGAGACAGGAAAGGACACAAATAAAAGAGGGAAGGCATAACGAAAGGTATAGGGACATAATTACGGAGGGGCTGCCTAGATACTTGTTATTAGAAGGAGATGAGGAAGGGAAGAAGTTGGGGGCGAGGTTCCGTTGTGGAAACGAGAGCTAACAGATACTGGATGGCCGATGAGGAGAGGTGGTGTAGGCTGTGCAGGGAGGAATGGGAAACGTTGGAGCATACGTTGAATGGGACCGAGGGCAGATCTTGGGAGAGGGGGAAGAGGAGGAGCAATGGATGAGAGGAGTTGTGGGGGTGAGGAGACAAAGGGATACTGGTGGCACGGAAGAATAGGGGTTTTGTGTGGATAGTGTGGGGTTTAGACAGGAAGCAGATTTTGAGAGAGGGAGGTGAAGGCAAGAGATGGATGAGGGGTAATTGGGCCGAGGAGCCAAGGGTGTGGAAATGGAGGAGGAGGGTAGAGGGTGCAAATAATATTTCAATGATGACAAAATAGGTAACATGTTATTGTATACAATAAAACTCTTAAAAAAAATCAAATTCATTGCATCGACAGTTGCATTATCAAATCCTATGTCCAGTAGCAGTAAGATACCTGAATAAAAAAAAACGTGACGTGTTACAGATAAATGAAAGGCATATTTGATATTAGTAACCCAAAATTAACACTCAACTCATCAACTATACAAAAATCTTGCAGCACAATGTTATTATTATTATTATGTAAATTGAGTAAATATTGCAATTGTCAGATTTATTGAGCAACATCAACTATTTTGGACAAGGAATATTAGGCAAGAGTTAAAATGGAGAGATGGCAATAATTTTGTCTCTGGTACCCGTCATAGTAATCTAAAGGTTAAAAGAAAAGTATTACTTACGTATCACAATTTAACACTCCATCNACACATAATGGGAGATTATATTTGGCCGTTCATTAGCAAATATATGGACTAACCTAGAAATTTCAATGATAACGAAGCTAGTGTTATGCCACTTTGAACAGTTTACCGCAGAATAAGAACAATCGATTCTTAGTGTTACCACTGGTAGGCCAGCACCGACAATAACATTTGGAGTGGTTATGATTATGGTCTTCTGAGACAGTATGAACGTCTAGCGATATGAAATAATACAAGGGGGAGATGAGATAACAGAGGAGGAGGTGGAGGGGGACTAAAGAATGGAAAGGCACCCGGGGTTGGGTTCGGTTTGGGAATCTCCCATTGCTTCCAACCATGCCTCAGAACGAGACAAGAAAGGGAGAGGTAAGGGGAGAACGGTTTCCGAACGGGTTGGGGACGGGGATAATAAGTTCCTTGTACAAAAAAGAAAGGAAAGGCATTTGACAAGGTCACTAGAGGGAGTTATGGGATGTGATGTGCAGAAGAGAGATTTCGGGAAGAATAATAGTCAGGGAAGAGAGATATATGCGGAAACGGTAGAAAGAATAAATAGGTTCGTAGGAAGGAAGGGCGCATTGTAAAATCTTGGGAGAGTGCCGCAGACAGATTGAGGCAAGAAAAGGTCGTTATAAGCAGCGAGAAAGGGAGGGATACTACAGAAGGGTGGGTTATTGGACGGAAGATGTGAACAGCAGAAGAGAGAAAGGGATTGAGATGTGGAGACAACTAGCGAGCAGGAATATGGATGTGGGAATGCAAGAGAGAAGAACTGAGATAAGGAAGAGTAGGTATAACCCAAAATACGGGGAGATTGTAACAGAGGGGCTACCGAAACATTTGATGGGTGAGGAGTAGAAGAGGTTGGTGCCCAGATTTAGGTGTGATAATGAAGAGAGCTCCAATAGAAATTGGATGAAGAGGGGTGTAGACTGTGTGAGGAGGGCTGGGAGTCTTTATACCATCTGCTGGTAGAGTGTGATGAGTTGAGGGAGGAGGTGATCGACTTGTGGTAGGTGTTGAGGAGAAGGCGGAGAAGGATGGGACAGAATGCAGGAGCGATGAGACGTAGGACGGCACGGGGAGGGATAGGATTTATAGACAATCTGGATATACCCGAGTTATTATTATTATTACTATTACTGTTGTGTGATTTACACAGGTGTTTCTGTAAGTCTTGGCATAATTTTAATCAGAAATACTAGAGTTAAAATGACGATGATTCGTTTAAAAATTTTTGGTCTAAACCCATAAATGGCTAAGACATGGGCTTTCAAAGTTAAGAAATTTTTGAACATTTTCTTAGATATTTTCAATATGGCTTGTCTTAAGAAAGATAAAATTTGGTAAACAGTGCAATTTTATCATGATAAATGCCATACAGGATGTCCAGAAAGGTTATTTCCTTTAAACTTTTTTATTATGTCATAACCCTTAAATTTTACAACTGATTCTAAAAACCTATTTCATTTTAAAATTATTTTAATTAATCGTAGGTGCCTACGAAAACAAATTGTAACTGGAGCAGTAAAGCAACTGATCCCGTGGTTGCATACTTTCCAAAGTGATCTTAAACGATTTCGATGTTTAAAGCTTTTTTTAACTTTGAAGGTCCATATCTACAGCATATATGGGTTTAGTCACAAAATTTTTACACGTATCGTCATTATTTTAACTCTAGTATTTGTGATTAAAATTATGCCAGAAACATCCTGTACATTGTAATCCACTGGAGGCAACAAATTACACTGTGCAGCAAACTTTAATTTTTTTTTGTGTACAGTAGATCAGTTGAGTGTTTATAGTTAATTTTGGGTTGCTGATTTCAAATGCTTTCCATTTTTTTCTAACACGTCACGTTTTTATTTATTCAGGTTTCTCACGACTGTGAGACTTGGGATTTTATAGGGAAACTGAAAATGAATTTGATATTTGGTGCCTTGATATGATGGCACCACCTATTTTTAAGAAAATTTTTAAATTTTATTTTTTCAAAAAAAAGTTATTTAAAATTACATTATTACCTTTTATTAAAAGACGCACGGCAAAACCCGAAAGTTTCTAGTGTTAGTTCTAATTTTAGTTTAAAGCTAAATAAAATTTTAAAATTTTCTTAAAAATAGTGATGTTAGTAACAATTTCCGGTGTAACAGGTAGTGGTACAAACATGACACTATCACTAAGAGGTAGATCTCGTCAGCTTATATCAAGGTGCCAAATATCAAATTTATTGTATCGACAGTTGCGTTATAAAATCCTGTGTCCAGTTGCAGTAAGAACACCTCAAAAAAAATGTGATGTGTTACAGAAAAATGGAAGGCATATTTGAAATCAGCAACCCAAAATTAACTAAAAACACTCAACTCATCAACTGTACAAAAATCTTGCAGCACAATATTATTATTATTATATAAATTGAATAAATATTGCAATTGTCAGAGGAATATTAGGCAACACTTAAAATGGAGAAATGGCAAAAATTTTGTCTCTGGTACCCCTAGTAGTAATCTAAAGGTTTAAAGGAAAGTATTACTTACGTATCACAATTTAACACTCCATTTTGTAAAAATATCTGATAACATATTTCATCTTCATATTTCTTATGCTTTGTTAACCCATCGCCAAAATATAACCCCTTCAGTAAATTATCGAAATGATCTTTATAATAATCAATAGGTAATTTACTTAAATAACTAAATAATGTTTGGTCATTTTGATAAATACTATCAAAAATTATTGAGCAAACTTCATCATTACTCAAATTATAATAATTGAAAAATTCTTCGAAATACATACTAGTAAAATTCATTTGAGTTTCATAACATTTAATATTCTCCAATTCGCGAAACCATCGAATCACAAATGTAGGCAACGCGTCTGGTGAGCAAATTAGCATAAAAATGTTTAAGTTGTTATAAATTTCCTCAAAAATCTCGTTACTTTGTGTGCTTATCATTTTCTCAAGAGCATCTTCAACATCAGTGTAAGTAATGTTACTAGAACAATATGTTACTATATGACAACAGAGATGACCTAAAAATGGTTTGCAGATTCTTGGCGAAACATTTCCTTTTTCGATCCGTTTCTTCCAAAAATCCAAAATTTGGTCAGTATATTTTACTTCAACAAATGAGTCTTTATAATATGTATAAACAGAAGCAATAGTGGATTCGTCATAATTGTCGGGATTTAACAACACATATGCAGTGTCTTCAACATTACATTCAATCGTTTTAGAACTATTCTGTGTATCAGGAAAATATTTATTATTAAAAGATTTAAAAATATCAAGAATTTCTGTGTGATACTTTAATTTCTTGAAGAATAAATCAAAGCAACCATTTCTAATATATCGATGAGGAAGTTTTTCGAGATTGTGCAAAATCGATTTTATAATCTCAAAGTCCGATAAGCTTAGTATAAAAGAAGAGAATCGTTTCGTGCAATGATTATAAAATAACCAAGCTGCAAAAGGTGTCCAATTAATTTTAGCGCTTTCCTCCAAGATAATTCTATATCGAGCTGGTTCAATTTTCAACACATAAGAATGAAAGTTTTTAAAAAAATTTTGTGTATATTCGGAAAAATCGTTTTTGTTTATCCCAAGCAAAAGGGATTTTATGCAATCTTTGTAATCATTGATTGAGATTAATTTAAAATCTAAAATAAAACTTGCTGTTTTATAAACAACCGATAATTGCATGTGGTTTAATAATTTTTCAAACACACATTGTACCCAAATAAACGCTAATTTATCAATATTTTTTAATAAATTAAGCGACGGTTCAACTAAATGTAATTGTTTCTCCTCAGACGCTTCAATAAGTGTAAAAAAGCTCTCCCATTGATCGCGAAATTCTCCAAAATTCGTTGTTTCCCCCTTAATTACATCCAATGTAGTAGAAAAATTATCTTCTTGAATTGATTTAATAAAATACTTCATTATATTAACAGCTAATTTGTATTCCCATTGATTAGGTTTGTTGTAAAAAACACATTGGAGATGAAGAAAAAATGATTCATTAAATATAGCTGATGGAATTTCTTGGATTAAACATGATATCATATACAAATCAAGAGATGTTACAATATCTTTCAAAACAATTTCCTTAGTATCAAGATTTAAATGTAAATATGGTTTTAATATATCCGTTATAAAATAATTTGTGGCAGCCTTTAAGTTTTGAGTTGAAATAGTATGTCGTAAAAATATAATAAAAGAATCATCAAAAACATTCTCATGTTTTATAAATGTACTTACTAATTGTAAATCTACTAATAATTCGTTTTCATTGTTAAATTCTAAGTTTTTTATGTTTTGTAACATATGGGAAAGTTCCAATTCAAATTGAAGCTCTGCACTGAGTTTTAAAATATCACAAATTGTTGAGATATTATGTGTGTTGCGTTTATTCAAAATTTCTATACTTGGGAAAGCGAATTTCTCAATGTTTTCTTTTTTATTGCGTTTATCGTAGATTTGAAGAGCCAATTTCAAACATTGTAAATTCTTCTGTTCGTTACAAATTAAATATTGGATTTGATTTGTATCTATTTTTAATAATTCCAATAGATTATTTATTTCTTCAACACTATAAAGCGAATTTGTTTCCATTATTTTTCACATTTAATTAATTTTTTTGTTTTTAAGGTTATGTTATTATTTTAGATGTCAATCAACACATGGGAGTTGGATGTAGAATCAACTAATAGATGGCGCACTAAAACTGGATAAATTAAAGTCCCTAGATTTACAAAGTACCGCGGTTTGACGCCATTTTGGCTCGAAAGTCAAGCGGGAAATTTTAAATTACAAACCAAAACATTACGCCAAATTTCCTTTCGTTTTTCTCGTGGCACTCTGATGAGTCGAAAGTCCTTCTTACTGCCATTTTTGCAACTTTCTAGGGACTTTAGGATAAATTAAACTCCCTAGATTTACAAAGTACCGCGGTTCATGAAACCTGTTTTCGAGCCAAAATGGCGGTTTGACAGCTTGTCACTGCATCTCACCACTTATTTACAAAAATATTGCCGTCATGTTGCCTTTGGAGTTACATAAATGGCAGTAAGAAGGACTTTCGACCCTTCAGAGTACCACGATAAAAAAAGAAAGGAAATTTGGCGTAATGTTTTGGTTTGTAGTTTTAAATTTCCCGCTTGACTTTCGAACCAAAATGGCGTCAAACCGCGTTACTTTGTAAATCTAGGGACTTTAGGATAAATTAAACTCCCTAGATTTACAAAGTACCGCGGTTCATGAAACCTGTTTTNAACCCTAGAGTGCAGATAATGCAAGCTTTTATGCCTGTTGATGAACATGAAGTATCTATAATAATTAATAACATTAAAACTGCAGCGGTGGGTTCTGATGGTATCTCAATCTGGATGATTGACTTGTGTACCCCTTTTCTCATTCCTTATATTACTCACGTAATAAACGCTGCTATTCACCAATCAGTTTTTCCGGATGCCTGGAAGATGGCTGAAGTAATTGCGTTACCTAAAGTATCTTCCCCTTCTGCCCTAGACCGATCAGTATTCTACCAGTAATGTCAAAAATTTTAGAGAGAGTCTTGGAAAGGCAACTTAGAGCCAGATCAATAATCTGGGTTTCGTTCGGAGTTCAGCTGCGCAACAGTTTTATTGAACCTTACTGATGAGGTATTTGCTTCTAGAGAGGCTGGGCAAGCCGCACTTTTGTTATTGTTGTACTTCACCAAAGCATTTGATACAATAAATCATAATATACTTGCATCTAAACTTCATTATTTTGGTCTTGGAAATCAGGCTGTAATTTTGATAAAGTCATTTTTGTCGGATAGGTCTCTGGTTGTGAAAATTAATAGTCAGATATCGAGCGCTTTGTCTGTTACTCGTGGAGTCCCTCAGGGGTCCATTTTGGGGTCACTATTGTTCTTTATTTATATATCTGATTTTAACGAAGTTCTTGAGCATTCGCAGATTCCCTTGCATGCAGATGATACACAGCTTCTGCTGAATTTTCATCCAAATAATTGGTATGATGCCTGCATAAAATTTAACTCAGATGTAGCATTATTTTCTGATATTGCAAACCGCCATGAGCTTGTGCGTAATCCATCTAAGTCTTCTGTTTTGCGGTAGTGTCACAAGGAGAGCAATTAAATCTTTGATTTTGAAGTTTCTCATTTTTCTAATTTAATTACAATAATATTTGATTGGTTTGCACCTACTAAAATTCTCCATTTCTCAAAGCCTCCTGCTCCGTGGTTGACGGATAATCTAAAGCTTATGATAACTATGAGACGATTCAAACGTACCCGTAATCCTGAACATTTTAATTCTTACAAGCAATTGCGTAACCTCACTAATACGGCAGTTATTAATGAAAAGAAGTCGTACATTAATACAAGAATTCGGGCAACTAATCGGAATGAACTTTGGAAAGTGTTTAAATCTCTGAATATCCACTCGAAATCCAAAACTAACAGTGTCCCCAATTACTTCAAACGCGATTAATAACCATTTCGTCGATTCTATTCCTGCTATTGCACCCGGTGTAAATATCAAGATAATATTGATATTAAAATGATAAAAGTTTCTTGTCCGGTTATAATTCCATATATTACCCATATCATTAACTTCTGTTTGATGAATGGTGTCTTTCCTGTGGCTTGGAAACAAGCAAAAAATACTCGCAAAAAAATTAATTCTTATAGTAGTTAACCCCAACCACCCCTAAATGTCGTACAGGGCTTATTTTACTGCGTAAGTCTTAATGAATTTACGGTTTACTTCAAAATATTGTTAAAAAATGTAACAGTTTTATCACATTATTCTTAAGGAAATGGGTTATTTATTATACCCCATAACTTTGCAGGGGATGGTCAGAGGCAAATCAGAAAAAATACGTAATTAATATTTTTAAATGTACTATATGGATAGTTAATGCCGCCAAAATCGACAGAGTAGTTTTTAAATTATTCCAAAAAAGTAGGGGTAGCTTACCCCCTGAAGCCCTCAGATATATGTGTGATATATCAATGAAAAACTCTTTAAAAATGAATATCAGTTTACATTTACCACATTTCGATAGCTGCTTTCGTTTTTAAACTATACGCGAATTAGCCCCAGGGGATTTATTAGCACGTATAAAAACATACGTAAACCTTGTTTTGGCTTATATTATCGCTGTACCAAATTACAACGAAATCGGTGAGGGACCGTCCTGATACTTCCCTTGTACGTGTAGTAATCATTGAGTATAAATAATAATTCTTCTGTTCGTTACAATTTAAATTTCCGATTCTATTTCCATTATATTTTTTGTTTTTAAGGTCATATTATTATTTCAGGTGTCAATTAACACATGGGAGTTGGATGTAAGAGGATCAACAAAGTATTAAATCTGGATAAATATGTATTAACAAAATTAATTGTTGAAAATATCTTATTAAATAACCAGTTAAAAATCACATTAAATTAATCAATTAAAAAAACTCATATTTGCATCATTCAAAGGTAACATTTGCATCGTTAATTGTTGTACTTGTTCCTGAAGCTCCTCATTTTTCTCTCTTAATTCTTGTTCCATAACACTTTTTTCGAATTTCGTTTTGGTTAATTCTGCTTGTAACTCATTAACCTTATTATTTAGTTCATTTAATCGGGCCTTCAACGTTTCATCTTTATCACACTTTTCCTCATCATCCTCATTCTCGCTATCACTATCTAAATTAATAACAGACGAAGAACTCTTAAACCTTTTAATTCGGCCGCCTTCGCGTTCATATTCTTCGCGTAAATTCTCTAAAGCTATTTGATGTTCCTCTTGGAGATTCTCTTCCACTCTTTTAATCTTATTTTTCCACCTTTCTTCCATCCTAGCAATCCGCGATTCACAACTTTCTTCAATTTGATTTATTATTGTTCGATAGCCTAATATCTGTTTTTCAATGGTTTCTTGTTGTAATTGTTTCTCATCTTCAATTTCATTGTATAATTTGATAAGTAAACTTTTACATCTTTCATTTTCTTCTTCGAGTCTCTCCAATCTATCGTTAGATCCTTCACGCGCAGGTAATGTCTGTTCTTTTTTGGTACACATTGTGATTTTTTGTGCGATTGCCGAAAAATTTAACGCGTGCAGAGTTTCGTCAAACATTTGCAAGCACGGATTTATATTAACAATCATTGCAATATCCTCTTTCCCAGACAAAGCCCTTTGGAATAACATCGTTAATTTCGACTCTCTGTATGGAATTAATTTATTATTATCATTCCTAGCTTGCGCATCTCTCACCATTCTAATACAACGCCCCAAAATCATAAGAGATGTGTTGATGTTATTAGATTCCTTTAAACGATCACCAGCATTTAAAGTTTTTTTAGATCTTTCAGATCCGGCCAAATCGCAGAAATTAAAATAGCTTACGCAATAATCGTTGGAAGACGATGATTCGTCGAAACCATCGAGGGCTTGTACAAGTTTTATCGTGAAAATACAATGAGAACGGCTTGAATGTGAATTAATCGCTGTTGAAGCGTAATTTAAGTTTTGTAATCCATATCGTAGGATTTTATAGGCTTCTAATCCATTTGTTACACTTACGCTGGATAAATTTTTGATGTAAGTTATTTCTTCCGTTTTACCGAGTTGTAATTTAGTTCTTTTCGCGGTCATGTTTGATTGGGGAGTCAATAAATCGAAGACTTGTTCATTATAGATTTCGGCGAACGATATCCAAACAGCTATTGACACATCTTTATACTGTTCTATTTCCGCAACAGGAACAGTACTTAATCGATCTTGCATTTGCCTAAGTAATAAAAAAATAAAGTGAAATGTAATTAATTTTAGTAAGTCCTTACTGATAAGTATGAATATGCTGTTTATCTTCGATCGAATTTAATGCAGTCAATAACGAATTTCGAGTTGTTCGCTCTAAATCACATAATGACGATGATAAAGATGTTACAGCCCCTGTTACCGTTGGTTTTACTTTTGGACAATCGGATAATTGCGGTAATGACCCAAATAAATATTCTAAAGCTCTTGGAATTACACCTGGGTCTTCTCCTGATCCTACTATTGTGAATGTTTTTCCTGGATGATAAAAAAATAATTATTTTAGAAAAAGAATCTTATGGAACTGTCTAGAACAACGAATGGTACCTCAAAAACTAACAAAAAAAAGTGAAATCTGTACAAGAAAGTATAGTACAAATGAAGGGAGAAACATCAAAAACTTTTTTGAAATTAGCAAGGGAATACATGAAGGCGATAGCCTAATCTTGTTATTTATAATATTAATGGACAGAGTGATAAAAAATACAAGAACATTTGAATAAAAATGAAATTAATAAGAAAGCTGATAAGATATGTCAAGTTATTTGGATCCAAGATACAAAATGAACTTTTTTTCATGCTAATTTAGGAAGCAACTCTAAAAAGAAGATACTTTAATTAATAATTGGCGATATTTCCACAAGGATCCTTCAAGAAATGAATTTTATAGCGAATTTTGAAAGTTATCGATGAAAATTGCAACATTCAACATTTTGAGAGCTTTTGTTGTATATTCTATTATTCTGAGAGATAAATTAAATTTGCAAACTTCATTTGTAACATGCCATCATAAGCTTCTATGTTAAAACTTTATACTAAGGCTTGGTACGAAAGCTGAATTGTTTAGGAAGATTTACTGAAAACAGAAGTTGCAGAGTTTTGGAAAATTGTAGGGGAAGAAAGAAATGTTCAAGATGAATTGGAATATGCAGCTGTAGTTAAATTAGCCAAAATATAGTCAGTTTTTCATCAAGGTTACTGATGTGAAAACAAAGAAAAGAAACAAAATAAGCTGTCAAGCTCTAAATGCTGTTGCAGTAATTCGTGTCGCGTCAAATGACTGTTGCCAATCCTTTCAAGTTTCTAATGATCACCTTAAATTGATGGAATCTCACAACTTTTATAAAACGTGATCTCAATAAAATTAATCTTTAGTTTGTAAAATTACACGTTTCTATAAAACACAATAAAGTTATATTTTATGTATATTGGTGGCTGTTTGTATTATTTTTTTTATTATTATTATTTCTGCTCTATGTACTTACTATCTGAAAATTAGCTTTTCTTCGTAATAATTAAATACGAAATAAGTGAATACACGAATATTTGATAATTAAAATTAACAGCTTAATATGATTTATTTAATTTTTGACCTGTAATCAGAAAAAAAAACTAATTTTATTCTTAATAAAACCTAAATTTAGGGAATTTTCATGAGACATTTATGTATTTCCAAGCCTGCGCATCTGGCATCTCAGCTTCAAATATTGTTTTCTCAAAAACTAAAAGTTATTTTTCAAAACGGGTTGGTTCATTGGAAAGAGGACACTTTTATTAACACTTTGAGATATTTTCAAACTCATATTCCAATTTTATACGAATTTTTAAAACTTAATCGACGAAAATTGCGAAATTCGAAAAAATTGTCGATCATTTCAAAAATTTATTTCTCAAGAACTAAAAGTGATTTTTCAAAACGGCTTTTTGCATTAAAAAGAGGATACTTTAATTAATGATTGGTGATATTTCCACGAGGATCCTTCAAGAAATTAATTTTATAGCGAATTTTGCAAGTTATCGATGAAAATTACAACATCGAAAATTTTATCAAAACTTCAAATACCGTTTTCTCAAAAACTAAAAGTTATTTTTCAAAATGGGTTGGGTTGGGTTGTTCATTGGAAAGAGGACACTTTTATTAACACTTTGGGAAATTTTCAAACTCATATTCCAAGAAATGGATTTTATACGAATTTTTAAAACTTAATCTGCGAAATTGAAAAAAATTGTCGATTATTTCAAAAATTTATTTCTCAATAACTAAAAGTGATTTTTCAAAACGGCTTATTGTATTAAAAACAGAATACTTTAATTAATAATTGGTGATATTTCCACAAGGAACCTTCAAGAAATTAATTTTTAGCGAATTTTGAAAATTATCGATGTAAATTGCAACATCGAAAATTTTATCAAAACTTCAAATATTGCTTTATCAAAAATTAAAAGTTATTTTTCAAAACGGATTGGTTCATTAGAAAGAGAACACTTTTATTAACACTTTGGGAAATTTTCAAACTTATATTCCAAGATATAGATTTTATACGAATTTTTAAAACTTAATCGGCGAAAATTGTAAAATTCGAAAAAATTGTCGATTATTTCAAAAATTTATTTCTCAAGAACTAAAAGTGATTTTTCAAAACGGCTTTTTGCATTAAAAAGAGGATACTTTAATTAATAATTGGTGATATTTCCACAAGGATCCTTCAAGAAATTAATTTTATAGCGAATTTTGAAAATTATCGATGAAAATTGCAACATCGAAAATTTTATCAAAACTTCAAATATTGTTTTCTCAAAAATTAAAAGTTATTTTTCAAAACGGATTGGTTCGTTGGAAAGAGGACACTTTTATTAACACTTTCGGAAATTTTCAAACTCATATTCCAAGAAATGGATTTTATACGAATTTTTAAAACTTAATCAGCGAAAATTGCGAAATTCGAAAAAATTGTCGATTATTTCAAAAATGTATGTTTCAAGAACTAAAAGTGATTTAAAAACGGCTTTTTGCATTAAAAAGAGGATAGTTTAATTAATAATTGATGATATTTCCACAAGGATTCTTCAAGAAATTAATTTTATAGTGAACTTTGAAAATTATTGATGAAAATTGCAACATCGAAAATTTTATCAAAACTTCAAATACTGTTTTCTCAAAAACTAAAAGTTATTTTTCAAAATGGGTTAGTTCATTGGAAAGAGGACACTTTTATTAACACTTTTGGAAATTTTCAAACGCATATTCCAAAAAATGAATTTTATACGAATTTTAATAAATTTTAATAATCGAATGTGATAACATCGACAGTTCTGTTAGTAATGAATGTGATGATGAATTACAAGCGAAGAGAAGAAAACTAGACGAAACTGTAACAAGAGATTTTATATATCGTATTGGGATTGTTACAATGAGGTTGCTAATGATAATCCTGATATAAATAAACTTGTATTCAATGAAAAAAGTCCTATTGGGGTTGAACTTGATTATTATCTGCAGTGTCCAACACCTAAAAGAGATACTAATTCCTGTGAATGGTGGAGTACTAAGTAATAGGTTTTTAATATCCGACCAAAGCCGGTAATTACTATACGATAATTTACTATATGTTGACGACATAGTGCTGATAAAAAAAAGGCATAAAAAGGCAAGGAAGTTGGTTGAAATATGGACAGAAGAAATTGAAAAGATAGGCCTAAAATTGAACATAAATACATAAATGTAAAATCGCGATAATAGATAAAAAAGAAATAAGAAATAACCCGAAAGAAATATTTATTAACTATCGAGCGGCCCCGTGTCATAAATTTTAAGACATCAGGTCCGTATTAATAAGAATTACGTTATTTTTAATAAAACACAGTCTGCTAGAGTTTAATTTATACTAAACAATTGTTAAAAATCAATGAAATCGATTAATTTTTGAAATCTAACAACATTTACAAACTATATACCGGAAATTTCATATATTTAAGTCGCAAATGTAACATAGCTTAATAGTATAAGCATAGGATAGTTTTGCAAAAGAAAAGTTTTGCTTGGAAAAGGTGACGTCCTTATGATAACTTTGAGTTTCCGACTTAAGACACGGAATAACAATTAAAACTAGAACTAACACTAGACCTAGAAACATTCGGGTTTAGCCGTACGTCTCTCAAGACGGCTAAATACAAATGATTCTAGTTCTAGGTATTGTGTTAGTTCTAGTGATAGTCCTAGTGTAAAACTAGAATTAACACTAGACCTAGAACTAGAAAGCTTCGGGATTAGCCGCCCGTCTGAAGACGTTTCTAGTTCTAGATCTAGTGTTAGTTCTAGTTTTAGTGCAATAAAAATATGCAACATAGTGATGTTAACTAGAGCTACCTACCACTGTCACTAGAACTAACATTAAAAATAAAACTAGAAACATTCAGGTTCAGCAGTATTAAGAGACACACGGCTAAATGGAATGTTTCTAGTTCTAGATCTAGTGTTAGTTCTAATGATAGTGCTAGTGTAAAATTAGAACTCACACTAGACCTAGAACTAGAAACATTCGGATTTAGCCGCACGTCTCTCAAGACGGCTAAACCCGAATGATTCTAGTTCTGGGCCTTGTGTTAGTTCTAGTGATAGTGTAAAACTAAAACTAACACTAGATCTGGAACTAGAAAACTAAGACGTGCGTGTGAAAACGTATGGTTAAACCAGAATGTTTCTAGTTCTAGATCTAGTTTTAGTTCAATTAGAATATGCAACATAGTGATATCTTATCACAGATCATACAGATGCGGCACTCAGAAAGATATGGTCATTTCAAGACAGAGATAGATACGAAACCAATTTAAAGGTCCAACGAGAACAACCGAATATTCGGCTACTTTCGACAATTAGGTCGACCCACAATATCTCTAGACCAATAACAACTTATGATTTTACAATTTGTGCATGCAAGTAATTTTGTTTACCTCAAATTGATCAATAATCCCATGTTTGTAATCCTTTGCTTTTCTGACCGTTATTACGTTTCTATTTCGGAGTGTTTTTATTTAGTGTTGTTGTTTTAAATTCATTACAAGCTAAGTGAAATTGAGTAATTATTGTTTAACGTTATTTTAATGGAGCCAATAGACGAAGGAAAAACCAACACAGAGAAATCCGTACATTGATTAAATGACGGGGTAATTTGCAGCTATAGCGGGTGTAAATCTACATTTTATGGGGCAAAAAGAAAAGCGAGAGCATAAAATTTTTTCGATTCCCAATACAGTAAACAATTACATGATACAGTAAACACTAAAATTTTTTATGTTGAGTGTTCTAAGATAATTTTATTTTAAATATATAAATTAAATAAATGTTAGATATTTAAATACATTTTAGCTTCTATAAATATTTTTATGTATGAATTTGGCTCCTTTTCTAACTCCTCAAACACGAAAGGTACCGCATCTGTATGATCTGTGATCTTATGTTAACCAGCGCTACCTACCACTGTCACTAGAACTAACATTATACCTAGAACTAGAAACATTCAGGTTTAGCCGTCTTAAGCCTTTGAATATAATGAATATTTCCATAAACTTACGAAAAACCGAAAAGATTGAAATATAGAAGATGAAAAAAATTTCGATTCCCACAAAATTGTCATTTCATTACGGACCTGAATTTTTGAAAAATGTGCAAAACAATCCGAAACCTTCATGTATGATTCAAAACCTGTTTATAATACATTTATATCCCTTAATATAAATACGGCCTTATAAATCAGTAATTAATGTGTAAATTTTTGTATTTTATACTTTTTTTGCCATAAAGGCAGTGTCAATATATTTTCTTTTTATATTTCTTTTTTCATCATGTTCAAAATACATACTTACATGAATACTTTAGCATTAAATCCTTTCAAATGCATAATATAAGGAGATATATTATAAAAACAAAAATTGTCATAAATTTTATGACAGCGCGCCCGCTCGAAGCTTAAGGAACAAAAGATAGAAGAAGCATCATCATATGAGTACTTGGGCAGTATAATATCACAAGAAGAAAGGATAGATTTAGACCTAAATGCAAGAATAAGGAAAGCAAACAACATAATATATATCATACTCTAAACAGAACAATTTTTGTTAAGAACGAGATAGATAAAAAGATAAAATTGAAAGTGTACAACTCAGTGGCAGCCCCAACATTAACATGGAACTAATCATGGACACTCCAAAATAAACAAGAAGGAAAGATCACAGCAATGGAACTGAAATTTTTACAGAAAATAGTGGGGAAGATGAAGTGGGATAGGATAAGGAATGAGGAAATAAGATCAAGAGGAGATAATCAGCAAAATAGAGAGAAAGTAACTAAACTGGAACATAACACAATAGTAAAAAAAGGTATTTGAAGCAAAGAATAAGGATAAAAAAAGAGGGGAAGACCTAAGAAGAAGTGGGAGGAAAGAATAGCAGAAGTTGGGAAGAAGAGAAGGAAGATTCTAGTAGATATAAAGGAATTAGCCAGGAACTAAAGGGGGTAGAAGAACTGGATTCAGGAAAAAGATTCATCTGACGCCATCAAGAATAAGGATCATGAAAAGAAAAAGAATCTTATAAAAACTTTTTACCTGCTCCAGATGCACCATAAGTCATCAAGGTAGAATTTCGTCCATTAATAAAATCAACTAATTTTGGCTTAACAATATGATTAAAAACTTCTTCTTGAGGCACATTTGGTCCAAAAATATGTGAAAAAGTGAAAATTTTCTTTTGACAATGTCCATTAGGAACACTTCGATTACTGTGTGAGTTTTCAGGAATAATGCAATGTAATTTGTTGTCGTCTAATTCATAAAAATCGCCTAAGGAATCAACTTTTTTGATACGTAAAAAAATTTCAATGTTTTGGGGTGATTGGGGTTCTTGCTTAGGAAGTGATTGCTGCAATTCATCTTCTTCAATGGTCGAAAATTCCGCACTTCTCAAATTAAATTGGTGTTGTTTCGGAAGATTTCTTCGTAGATAAAGGCTACCATCACGAGCGACTAAATAGGATACTTTTGGATTGTTCTCCATATTTTGTTGATTATAAATATCTTGATTAACAGTTAATAAAGTTATAGATTAAAATGTTATGTTTTTTTGAGCTCTAAAAAAGAAAATAAAACGTGATGTGTTTTTCATAACCGTAAATAAGAAAACTTAATAAGAATGAATTACTTACGAATTAAGAAAAACGATTACGATCAAACTCAGCTAACAAACTAATAAATAAACGAGACTTCACTGGACTTTAAAAGTTAAACAACTATGACAACTATTTGAAATCAGTTGACGGTTATAAATGAGAATATAACGGATGTAGGTAATGTAGGGAGCGATAATTTACGGTTGGGTTGTTAAAAAAATTTAAAACTAAACGAATACGTATACTTAATTAAAATTTATCCGAGTAAATTGTAATGAAATAATTTAATTAATAACTTTTATAAGTAATTTTATGTTGCAAAAGATTTGTAAAAATTTTTGTAGTTTAATTGAACTTTTAGGAAATAGATGGCGCAATGAATTTAAATTGTTAAAAATTATGTCAATGTCAAATAATAGTGAAATAAAATTTAAAGGCAAAATTGAGTTTTATACTATATTGTGTGTCATTTCTTCAAGAATTCTTGGTCCGTACATTTTTTATGATACATTAAACGGAGATCGTTATCTTCACTTTCTACAGAACGAGTTCGATAATTGATTGACGGTAAGAGATAATAATTCCTTAATTTTAATTATCACTTATAGTTGTACCTGAAAACGGTCTAATAAAGCGAAACAATTATTGTACATACCTTCTGAATAAATGTACATCATTGTGGAATTTTTGTTATCTACTTACGATTTCATTCCTTATAATCACCACACAATGAACCTGGAGTATCTCATCGCTAAATTATACTATATTGTTTCAATTACAAATAGTTATTGCTGAATAGTATACAAATATATACTGATAACATCACGTTTATACTTTATCAACAAGTCTGCATTCAACTCTGAGGTTGCACCTGTTTGTAAAAGACCAGATACTGCCTATAAATGAATATATACTACTTTTAGAACACTAGATATTGCTGGTAGAGAACTAGATACTACTAATAGATAACTATATGCTTGATATACTACCAATAGGCGACTATATACTACTTGTAGAAGACTAGATAATGTTGGGAAAACACTAGATACTACCTGGAGGTGACTATCTACTGCTAGTAAAAGACTATACACTTCTGATAGAGACCTTCTTCTTCTTAATCCTGGACGACTAAACTTCGTCGAATCAACGACACATATTTAAAATTTGTTGGAAAAAATTCTTGTTTTTGCTTGTTTTTGTTTTCTGCTACTATGGTGCGTGCGGAAGTGCAGCATCTCGTAAGTATGGTTTTTTTAATTGTAAGTCGTCGAAACGACGCAACATAGCTTTTGCGTAACTTTGGACTTTCCGAGATGCGTTTTCTGATGTAATTGTATTGTTGTTTCTTGGTTTTATGTTTGATTTATGATAATATACTGTGCACTAGAGTAGTACTATCAAGAAAATGAATGGCGACGAAATTGTTCTTGTAATACCAATATTGCTTTAGTCGGTGCGAAGTAATATTGAAAATGTAATACCCATTAATGATGATTATACTAAACAAATAAAAAATCCTAAAAAAAAAGATTTGCGCTATTTGTCCCTCTAATCGACGAAATCATTCTGTGCAAAATGTCATAAAAGTCTGTGTGGTGAGCAGAAAGTGCGTCTTGCATATACAGTAACTAGTTTCTCATGAGAATGTGTTTACTTTTAAGTTAATACGTTACTTTACAAGATAAAAATATATTTAAATGATTATAACTTGATTTTTTCTAACACCTTAGTTGTGTAAAATAATCCAAATTACTACACCCATGCATGTTGATTTTCTGAAGTAAATATTATTAAAAAATGATCCATTTTTGTTTTTCTTTGAGTTAAATAAACTAATTAATTAATTACAATCGATTTTCCAAGTTGTTGGTGCATAGGTCATCTGTATCACCTTTTTGAGTAGTGTCGTTGTCTATTCGACGAAGCATAGCCTTTTCGTATAAAAATAAGCATAACCTTCCAGGGTTAAAGTGCCATGCAGATTCCTGCATAGGCGTTCATCGCTTTTCCTATCAGATAGTTCTATTATGTGCAGCATTTTGTAATGTTTGGAAGTCCACTGACAGATATTTTTTATTGTTAGCCACGATAATTTTTTTCTACCTATTCCTCTTTTTCTTCCCTCAATTTTTTCCTGGAGAATGAGACGTTAGAAATACTCAGGTGATCGACTCAAGATAACATTCGCCGCAGGATCCACATTTCGAAGGCTTCGATTTTGTTGATGATTGATATTTTCAGCGTCCATGTCTCAACCCCATATAGGAGAACTTTACGTAGCACTTTACCATCCTATATCTGAGGCTGAAATTCAGGTTCGTGTCCGCAAGAAATTTTTTAAGTCTTAGAAAGGTTGTTCTAACTTGTTCAATCCTGCATCGTATTTCTTAATCCGGGTTCCATCCCTTATTGATCATGCATCCCAAGTGTCTGAATTGTTTGACCTGTTCGATGATCTCTCCATCAACATGTATTCGAGTGTGTGGAGTATCGTTTTTACTAACCACCATAAGTTTGGTCTTGCTGATATTAATTTTCAAACCTTGTCTTTGGCTTTATATTACGGTGTCATCCGCATACCAGATATTGTTAATGGAGGTTCCATTTGCTTTAATTCCAAAGAGACTATTCGAGATTGACTTGGAAAATACTCTTGCTTCATACAGGTTGAACAGCATCGGGGGCAGGATACACCCTTTATTATTATTTTATTATTATTGCTGCCGGGCTGAGGAGAGCGGCCCCTCTCGTTACCGCGACCTATAACATCTATTGTAACTTTAGCCCTCCAAAGGTTTAGGGCAAATGTAGGTCGTTAATGAGCCTTAGTATTGTCCTGAGGTCTTGAACCTTTACGTCGGTAGGTAACAAGGGAGTTTTACCGAAAATGTTGTGTCCTGATCTGTGACCTGGAAGTTCTTTCCAGTGTAAGGCTATCTTTGAAACCTCCCAGTTGTTGATTATTTGTTTTAGGTGGCTTTTTTGTAGTCCACAACCAGGTTGGGGTCCAATGAAGGGCGTGTTCGCTGCCTCTTTGGCCAGCTTGTCGGCTTCTCATTGCCCTCAATGTTGCTGTGACCTGGAACCCACCATAGGGTAACATCATTGCCCCTAGCGAGTTCTCTCATGTTGTTGGTACACTCTCTGATCAGTGCGGAGTCACACGTGTAGGCCTGAATTGCCTGTAAGGCGGCCCGACTATCTGTGAAAATGTTTATGGATGCACCTTTTTGTCCCTTCTGTAGGTTCAAAGCGGTGCAGAAGTTTATAGCAAGAACTTCTGCTTGGAAAATTGTTAAGTCCTAGCTGAGGGGCAATTTGATGTGGCTATTTGGTCCACTGATGCCCATGCCTACTCCAGATCTTACTGTCTTTGAAGCATCGGTGTACCAGGCTAGGGCTCCTCTTTTTAGTTGAGGTCCTCCTTTCGCCTAATCACCCCTGCTTCTAAATATGACCTTATACGGCTAATTGAAGTTGTATTCTGTTGGTATGAGGTTCGTTTTAATTTCAATCAGGTGATTTAGACATGGGTCCTTGAAGATCTCGAGGTGTCCTCTGAGGTTACCCTGCATCAACTTGAGTGAAGAAACTGTTTTCAGTGATAAGGCACTTAAGGCTGCCTCCTTTTGTATATATAAATGGAGCGGTGTGAGACCGAGTAGGGCTTCCAAAGCAGCCGTCGGACGATCTCATTGCACCCGTTATGTTAAGACATGCTAACCGCTGGATTTGTGCCAGCTGTTGTTGTGCTGTCTTGTGTTTTGTTTTTGGCCACCAAACCAATGAGGCGTAGGTGACCATGGGTCTGATTATTGCAGGATACACCCTTACCGAACGTCATTTTTTATTTCAAAATCCTCAGTTGTTCCAGCGTTATTTACTCAGACTTTCGCTTTTTGGTGCAAATATAGATTACCAATTAATCTTGTATCCTTGCAGCTAGGCCCAGAACTCAAAAGTTTTTTTATCAGAAAATTGTTTTTAACTTTGTCAAATGCCTTCTCATAGTCAATGAAGTACATAAAGACGTCCTTTCTNGAGTGAAGAAACTGTTTTCAGTGATAAGGCACTTAAGGCTGCCTCCTTTTGTATATATAAATGGAGCGGTGTGAGACCGAGTAGGGCTTCCAAAGCAGCCGTCGGACAAGATCTCATTGCACCTGTTATGTTAAGACATGCTAACCGCTGGATTTGTGCCAACTGTTGTTGTGCTGTCTTATGTTTTGGGCCACCAAACCAATGAGGCGTAGGTGTCCATGGGTCTGTTATTCCAGCGTTATTTACCCAGACTTCCGCTTTTTGGTGCAAATATAGATTACCAATTAATCTTGTATCCTTGCATCTAGCCCCAGAACTCTAAGGTTTTTATCAGAAAATTGTTTTTAACTTTGTCAAATGCCTTCTCATAGTTAATGAAGTACATAAAGACGTCCTTTCTGTGATCTTGGTAATTTTGCACCAGTGTCTGGAGACTAAATATGGCTTCTCAGATTCCAAATCTGCTTTTGGATTCAAACTGATTGGCTCCATTTGCTTCCTCACATTTTTTATAAAGCCTTGTATATGCAGTGATTTTTGTAGTGCTACAAACGAAAAGCCAGTCAGTCCTAAGGGATGTGTCCAGAGTCATAGATGCTGTTGTTTCAAGATTTTCTTCGTTAATTAAGTGAAACTTCATCGACCTACTTAGATACTACTAATAGGTGACTACATACTAATAGAAGACTAGATACTGCTAAAAAAAGAGTAAATACTGCCCGGTATATGACTATACACTACTTGCAGAAGACATGATATTACTGGTAGAAATCTAGATGACGTGCTTAGTCCATGGTTTTCTTGAAAAATTCCTGGTTGATACTACCAATGATGTCATTTGAGTGCTTGGGTAAGATTTATGAGATAATAATAGTAATAATGAAAAAATATGGAGAGGTTTCAACAATATTAATTCAAACTCATCATCAAAACGTTTCTTTAACAAAACAAATTTTGATTACATGTTTTTAAAACTAATCAAACTCTTATTTATTTTTCTTTTTAAGCGTTGTTTTGGTCAAACCTTTTATCCTTTCAAAAACTCCATCTCCAAATGAGTTCAAATGTAAATTTATAAACACAACTAAAGCGATCA